ATAAATATATGAAAAAATGCTCCACATCACTAGCCATCTTCGAAATGCAAATTAAAACAACATTGATATATCATCTCACTGCAGAAATATTGGCTACCATAAATCACCCAACAACAAATGTTGGAGAGGCTGTGGGGAAAAGGAACCCTTCTCCACTGCTTGTGGGAATGTAGACTGGTGCAAACATTATGGAAATGAGTGTGGAGACTCCTTAGAAAAGTTGGACTGGAAATCCCATTTAAAGCAGCTATTCCTCTACTGGGAATTTTCCTGGAGGATCTGAAAATATCACATCATAGGAATATATGTGTGTGTATGTTTATAGCAGCACAATTTGAGATAGCCAAATCTTGGAAACAACCACGATACCCATCACCTGAGGAATGGATGAAAAAGATGTGGTATTTTTGTACAATGGAGTATTACTTAGCTATAAAGTATGATAAAATCAAAGCCTTTTTATTGAAGTGGATGTTACTTGCAGATATAATCATAAGTGAAATAAACCAGGCACACATGTGTAAATATATAATTTCTGTAATATAAGAACTCAAAAGAAGAAATACAAATAGAAAAGTATAATACAAGTAAAAGGAAAGCAAGAACTCGAGGACTACCTAATTAAGGGAGGGAAAGGAGAAGAGCTAGGAAGCATGACAGTGACAAGCCATACAGTTATATTAGAAGATGGGTAAGGCAATGATCCTGAGAATCTTCAGAATGTTTTCGAATCTAGCAGTTAATTAGAAAGATTCTCACCCTGAAGAACTATATATACAGATACCTGTGAACTAAGCAATTGCACTGAACATGGCAATTTGTAATAGTAGTTTCATGGTTGGAGTGCCTGTCATTCTGGTCCTCCGAATACAGGCTGCTTGTCATGTCATGTCAGTTGCTGCTGTGCTGTCTCTTGGGTAGATGATTGTTCAAAAAGAAGGGGGTGGTGAATCAAGGCAGGAGACAGGAACAGGAATGTTGTGGGACTGTCCTTTTGCAAGGTCGTATATGGTTAGATTTCTGGACTTATGTGTAAACATAAGAATTATATAATTCTTTATGCCTATTTTTGAAATATATTCTAATTTTTATATGTTTTTTCATCATATTCTGTAGGGACTTAAGGTTCAATATGTCAATATTTGATGAAAAATACCTGTTCCATGTTATGCCTAAGATGTTTGAT